TGATAATCCTCATGGCAGATAATCAGATGGGTTCTCATCTCCAAAACAATAATGCCACTGCTATCTTTTGGTACAGTCGGATATTTTCGTCACTCTGTTCCTCACAAAGAAACTGAGTTTATCTTGTTGTGAAAGAAAAAAATGTTCAGGCACTCTCAAAACCAGGACCTCAGCGACTGGTTTTTCATTCCCGGGCAGTGTCACTCAGGAAAGCGTGTCAGCCACAGTTTTGCCGGTGCCATTCTTGTGCTCCACTCTGCAACATATTTCTAAAGATAAAGAGCCCACCGGGCCAGACGACCGGATGGGTTTTGTAGCTTTGACAGCCATGGCAACGCCTGGTGATCGGTTTGGATCGTAATTGCAGCTCCATCCAGATGCATGTCTAGTTTTGCGGCGTGAATACAATTTCAAGGCACTATTTCTCTGTTAAAGTGTAGTTCCTTTCTGCGCCTGCAAGCGTGTGGCTCGCAAATGCTTGCGAGGTAAATTGATTTGTGGGGTTTAACGTCCCAAAACCACCATGATTGTGAGAGACGCCGTAGTGGAGGGCTCCGGAAATTTCGACCACCTGGGGTTCTTTAACGTGCATCCAAATCTGAGCACACGGGCCTACAACACTTGCGCCTCCATCGAAAATGCAGCCGCCGCAGCCGGGATTTGAACCCGCAACCTGCGGGTCAGCAGCCGAGTACCTTAGCCACTAGACCACCGCGGCGGGGCGCTTGCGAGGAAAGACATTCCTTGATATTCTTGGAGTAAAACTGCTCCAAAGCCATATTCACTTGCGTTGGTCTGCACAGTGAATGGTAAATTTGGGTGAGGGAGGCGTGACCGTGCTACAGCAGTGATAGCCTCTGACAGAACGTAGAATTTAGCCTACTCCGTGTAAGTCGAAGGCCAATGGGCTCCCTTGCACATGTGCCGGTGAAGTGGTGTTACCAGACCGGCACAGTGAGTAATGAAATCGTAGTGGAAGGCCACCATACCCAGAAATCGTTTCAGGCCTTTTTTGCCCATTAGAGGTGGAAAATACAAGTTGGCCTGAAGTTTCTGTTCATGTATCCGTATTGTGCCTTACTCCAAAACGAAGCCTAAGCAGTTAATTTTGTTTGACACCAAATGAATTTTCCGGGTGTTGATGGTGAGGCCTGAGTTGTGCTATCGCAAGGCAGTAGTTAGGTGGATCAAGTGTTGGTCGAAGGTTTGCAAAAACATTACCACGTCATCTATGTGAGTAATATCATAATTTATTCTGGCATCTAAAGCAAATTGTTAGTGACGTGCGAGAATGTGTCTGGCAAACTGCATAATCAGAACAATAGCCTCGAAAACTTGAACAATCCCCTGTGGCAAGTAATCACCAATTTCTCAGCATCGCACTCTTCTAACGAAATTTGAGAAAGCCTCTGCAACTGTCAAAGGTAGTCAAGAATTCAGCGACCCCAAAGGAGTGAAAACAGAGTTGATTGGAGAACGGGGCACGGTTCTCGAACCACAATGGCAATTAACTGCTGGTAGTGAACGCACAGCTGCTCCGAGTCTTTCTTTTTGGAACTAAAGCAACTGGAAACGCCGAGGAACTGTTGGAAGCTCTTACAGAACAGGTTGCAAGCATTTCGTCGAGGGCAGCATTCGGAATTTCGCGCTTGTGGACGGTCAGGGGAGGAGGAAGCAACAAAAAGGGAGAAGGCAGGGAGGTTAACCAGAAAGACATCCGGTTGGCTACCCTACACTGGGGGATAAAGGGAGGGGACAAGAAAGACGAGAAAGAGGAAAGAGAGGGAAAAAGGGGGTGGGGGAGAGACTGACAGTAATTTCACTGCAGCGTGTAGAACTCCACCGCATGTCAGAGGCGTTCACACAAGCCTGTCTTTCTCAGGAAACGCAGCAGGGCTTTCACTGCCTTGTGGGCTGTCGAGGCATGTGTACGTTGCTGTAATAGCACCTGCACAGAAAGAGGCCGATCATCCAGTCGCCGCATTGCGTTGGCAAGTACTTGTCTCTCTGAAGCAAATCGAGGACAATGACACAGCAGGTGTTCGATATTTTCGTCGGTGCCGCAAACATCGCACGCCGCACTGTCAGTAATTCTGATTAACGTGGTATAAGCTTTCGTGAAAGCAAGGCGATAGAGAAGCGAAGCTTCACGTCGATGTAGGCCGGGTGGAGGCCGGAGTTGTAGTGAAGGGTCGAGCTTGTGCAGTCGTGTACGTCGTATGCTTGGTGTGTTCCACTCAGTCAGTGTGAGACTGCGGGAAGCAGAATAAAACGAATAGGGGGGACGTTATTTGTGTCGATCCTGCCTTCTAATACATTAAGCTTGCCAGGAGCCTCTGTCGCAAAGGGCTCTACGGCTGCTTAGATTCTCACTTTTAGCTCTTATGGCCCTTTGAAAAAGTCGGCAATGGCAAACAATCCTCTTTGGTCTCAAAGAACAGATTCACATTTGTTGTAAGCAGATCAGGCTTGCGTTGTGTAAAAGCAGTCACAAACGTGAGAGGTTTCGCATTGATACTATGGCTGTAGGTGCCAGTACAGGCATCAAGCACGACTCCACACTTAGCTATAAAATTGCATCCTCAAATCATTTGGCAGGGAAGTCCGTGTAGGTGTAGGAAAGGGTGCCGAAGTTTTCGCCCATTGAGCGTGACCGCTAAACGAGCTGCGAAAGTGGTAGGAAAGACATGAACAGAGGGCAGATGCACATAAGTGTTTACACTTCGCAAAGCTAAGCCTTTATACTGAGAGGCGTTCTTGAGGCGATCCCCGCAAACAGAAATAGTTAAGTCAGTACCTAAAAGAATCAGGATTTTACTCCTCCTATAGAAACTATCATGAATGGGGCTTTGTCAGTGTGGGCAACAAGGAGAGTGGATGTAGGCGGAAGATTTCTCATTATAGTGTCGATTACAACATGGCTGGTATTGGGTGGGGAGCACATTGTGGGGCGTTGGTTGGTTGCTCAACTGGTAGTAGTCCGAGCGGGGAGGAATGTGGCTTTGTCCCTTTAGGCGCGTGTTGCTTTGTCGAAGGTTTCCTGTGGCTGTGGTTCTTGGCGACTGGATGATGCAAACACAAAAACACCCAGCATGCGCTCACCATCGCCGGCACCTGCCGTTACCTCGGCGGCCAGGAATTGGTCTGCTTGAGCACTGGCTTCTGTAGTGGCCCCGACCTCCACACTGGAAGCATAACGAAGAGTTCTTTCTTGTGCCTCTTGCACTTGAGTGGTCTTTACGAGTTCGCCTTGAGCCCCACGTTCTTGGGTTGTTGACGGAAGGGCAGACGAAGCAGACAGATTGTGGTCGTTGATTATGTCTAGAGCCCTTGTTGGGGTCATCAGTGAGGCCATTGAATTGAACCGATGTGCCACGCACAGGATAGCTCGAGGGTGGATTCGGGCGGGGGCGGTGATTGGTATGTGAGATTCGCCAACATCGTGACCTAAATATCACCCGCTGTTATAGCGAGGACGCCGAGTGAAGAGAATAAACGACCCCTTACGTACGCCTGAAAACATAGGTGCGACTTCCTAACTGCCCGAGTGACTCTTTACTCTTTGTATGCCGAAGAGCCCGCGTGATCACAAAGCTCCTGTAAGCACCGCATGTATTCTTTGGGTCTTTCCTCCTCATCCTGCATGTGGCTGCGAAATTCATCAATCAAGCGAACAATGGAGTCACGGGGAAGAAATTCGGCGCAGAATAGCAGCTGGAAGTGGAACTAACTTTCGAAAGATTTGCGATTACACCAACGTGTGGCCGAGCCAGACAGGACGACGGGCAGAATGCGTAGCAGAAGAGTCTCATTTACGAGGGCTTGCATGACGCGATAATCTTGTAACTCTTCCAAAAGTCTGCGACCAATTTTTCGTCCGTGTGTCCTTCGTAAGTAGGTACGGCCTGGGGAAGCAAAAACCATTGAATGTTGTATCCTGGCGTTCCAGCAACGTGGTCCACTGCTGAACAATAAGAGGTGTATCTGGCCCAGACGCGTCCTGTTGTACATTGTCACACATCGTATTAGACTTAAGGTCTGTTGCATTCAAGAGCTGTAATTATACCGGAAGGCAAGAGCCATGCAATATAGGCAAAGAATAGCGCGTTTGAAATGGCCCGACTGCAAGGATGCCTTATGCGTGCGGCTGTCGCGGAATGAAGGTGAGCCCCAACAAAAAAAGGAAAACTGCATGAGAAAACCACTTTGGTGCCGACTGAAGGCCTCGCCTCCACTCAGGGGGGTCAGAGAGCCGGAATGCGCATGACACGAGCCAGCAATGCTGGGAACAAGAACAGCTTTGATTCACGGCTCCAAAAAAAAAAAGAAAAAAAAACCTCAACAAGCCTTACGGACCGGCACAGCACGACGAAATTGAGTACTAGAGTACCGAAAGCCCCTGAATAAACAATCACCACAGACTGGAGGTCAACGGAAGAACGGTGCGTAACATAACAGCAGGAAAACGGCCGCGAAACACAATGGCAGGAAATCTAACGATCTCAAAAGCAACTCGAATTAGAAGGCGAGCGAACAACTCGCCTTAGCGGACGTCCCCAACCGGCGTAGCCACTCTTCTTCAGCACTAACGAAGGAAAACCATCGCGTCTAGCCCGACAGCCACCTTATGCCATCGCCATGCTACCCCAAAAAAGCCCTCGGGCTTTTTCACCTTCCTTCTTATCGGCTAGCCATTTTCCGCCTCCCGTGGCTTTTTCGACTGCGACGCTCGTCACACGCCTGGGCAATACGCGTGTGTTCCCCTCGCCCTGTTTCCAACATGCGTGCTGTAGATAAGGGCCCATCGGCCCGACAAGATAAAGTAACATTCTACTTTGATATTGCGAATTGTGCGAGAAAACGTACGCCCCTCTGAGGCATGCTGCTGACCCAGCTCTGGAGCTCTATTTAATGTGTTGTTTGATGTTTTATGTGTGATTTAAAGCTATATTCAAAGTAAATGTACCTTTGTTGATTACTTGTCGTTTTTGTATTTTCAGCCAAAAAATGCGTCCATGGAACACAGTCAAGAGATACGTAGTTCCCAAAATAAAATTCTCTGTGAACGGCATATGTGGTTTGGCTCCTTGATAAAATGTTGGTTGCTGGCACATATTGCAATTGATGTAAGGGACGTTGCATATCCTGCACACTTGGACGACTTCCTAGTAGAAGTGTACTTGGTGTGTCTGAAAAAAAAACACCCGCGAAGATATACAGGTATGTGTATGATATTTGCTTATTCAAGACGCCCCTCACGTCACCACTAGCATGCGGTATGCGGTGATCGCCCAGATTATTTGGATGTGATAAGGAATAGAGGTCTCCAACACATCTATCAGGCACAGAGAAGGGAGGAATTCGTCTACTTGATGACGGCTGCAGATTGACGTAGCAAAATATTGCTGTTATGAAAGCCGAATATTTACGGCCTGTTTTGATAGAATAATGTATGCGTGAGCGTCCATGCTATGAATTACCCACAATAAAAAGCTCTTCATTTTGCTTGCAGCATTGCTATGCCCAGTATGGTGGCAGGGTCTATTGGAGTAAGGAAGGAGTCATCAGACTGTTGACAACACAGATAACGTAGGCCTAAAAGAAAGAAAGTGGAAGAGTCTGATAACATTGTCTGAAGTTTTCATAGTCTAAGAATGCTTTTGACCATAGGTTTTCTAATTTACTCCTAATTTAGAAAAACTGTTCGTCCATCGGTATTTATTCGCGAAAGCAGACTGCAAAACCGCAAACCAAATCCTTACGCCAACGTTCAATTTGTGAGCACCACGACGTAAAGGGGTGCCGAAACGCTGTTTTTCAATTACCTATGCAGTCTATTTAGTGAAAGAACTTATTTCCTCACGAATTGAACGCCACCAAGTTTCAAGAATGCGTCCAGTAAGAGCGGAGTTAAAAAAATGGCAGCATATCCACGGAGTGAATGATGGGGAGTGAGGCGAAGCATTTGTCCGTCCATTCGTTCTTGCTTCCGTCCGTTCCTGCGTACGTCTGTGTAACCGTCAATGCGTCCATCCACCCGTCCGTGCGTGCGTCTGTTCGTGCGTCCGTCGCTGCGTTCGTCCATTCATCCGCGCCTGCGTCCGTTCATGCGTCCATCCATGCATCTGTCTGTGTGTCCGTTCGTCCATCTATTCAGCACTCCAAGTACCACCATCTCGCATCTTTTTATCATATATTCTCCATATAGAAGCACTGCCATCCAGCGGACATTTCAAGGACTAAACGGGAGGTAGCACATGCACACTTTCTTACGGCTTGCGGTTCGGGTTTACTTCCCACCTTTAACCACCTCGAGTTCGAGGTATATACTAGTTCACTGTATTCATGGCTATGTGGCCCAACGCTCGCTGAACCTTTATAAAACCAAGGAGGTTACACATAGCGAGTATAACGTAGCAACCCTTTCTTGTCAGATCGTGCTCAATGTACATGCTAATAGCTGCTAATGGGGATCGCAGCGTGCGCGTTACCTAAAGGCCGAATGCTCCTGTCTCTCATTTACCCTTAGCAGCCATTAACATGTGCATTGAGCACTATCTTTTATTGTTCAACAACGCACAGGAGAAATCTCTCACTGGAACCACCTTGGAGGTCAAAATCGTAAGGACCGCTATTTCGGGTATGTGCCACTGGTAGTTACGTACTACGAGGGACGCACAAGCCACGCCATAAGGAGCTTCGCCCCTAAAAGATTGGCCGCACTCTGCAAACGCGTTCTCTCGTCTCCGCCCAATAAAGGCGCTGGAAACAAAGCAGAAACGATTGGCAGGGGCAGAAAAAAAGTGTCACGCGCTTTGTGACTTTGATTTTTCTTTTTTTTTACTTCGGAATACGTGGATTTTTTAGTGTGATAGCGCCTACACGCGTGGGCACGTTGTAACCTACCGTGGCGATCCCTTTGCACGCTATGTTAAAATTAGCCAATGGCTGATAGATGACATTCTACTAGTGATTTTGAGCGTCTTTCGTCATTTGTCAAAAAAAAAAGATTAGGTAGTTTTGAGCTGATTTTGATAATTTTTTGTGAATTCTAGGCCGCGTGCTGCGCTATAACGTTTAGCTCGCGTGTTCTCGGCAGTCTCTACTTCCAATCGGAAGCGTTTTCTTGACCATGTTCAAAAAGTGTTCCAGGGCCACTTTAAATAAAGCCGGCAAAGGGAAGCGCATACGTCCATACGCCAGGTGCCTATTCCCGAACACAGAACGAGAACACAGATCTAAGGGACTTAGCCTAACCGGTTTTTAACAAAGTAGATATAAGCGGCATAGACAAACTAGTTTTCGGTCACTTACTTCCACGATATGTGATATTACACATATATATATAGCACCTACGACCAATCTGATCGGAAATTTCTAATCTACACTTGTGCTGAAAATTATTCCATGCTCTCTGTGAACAAACTGTGGTGCTAATACTTGAAGCACTTCATCAATTATTTTGTTCTCTGCGGTGTTTTCAGGGGAGGTGGTTCTTGCCTGCTAACATGCAGGTCGTGGGTTCCATATAGCCCACGGCCATCACATGTCATTGCGCGAAATGTTAGAGGGCTATGTACTGTGCGACGTCGTTGCACGTTAATGGGCACCAGATGATCAGAAGAACACACCATCACAATGCACTTGCCGACTCTCGACAGCTTGCATGTGTGGCTACGTCAAAACATGCACCAGTCCATGTGACTTGAGCCAAAATGTTCATCTTAAATTTTCCTTCTCTGAACGGCAAGAATTTACCCCGCTTCACTGTGAGATTCATATAGTTGCTTAGTGACATCTCAACCTGCGATAATGTGTAAGGCGTGTGGGACAACCGGCTAGTGGAGTCGCCTCAAGGCAATGGTGCAGCAGGCGGTGGGCCCTTAGTTTCTGATCAACGCCATGATGCACACGTCTCACCCATTCAATTCCCTTCTAAAGGAAAGAATGTAAATGTATTTTTTTATCAGTGATTGTTCTGAACTATTGTTTGTTAATGAGCCCTCTTTTTAGCATTCGCAGATTATCGGCGTACTGGAAACTGAACTGTGAAACAGCTGGTTTCGATGCGGCACTTGTCGTGGGAGATCTCAGCTATGCGCTTATTTTGCAGAGTTTTTTGAAGGTCCTAAGAAGAGAAAGGTGAAGTTTAGACTGCTAAGTGCGCTGATGTCGCTGGCGATGGCTGCGCTGTCAACGAGTTCTTGAAGACAAGGGGTACTCAGAAGTGTTACTACTCGTGGATGCCTTAGTATATACTGCATCAAATGATTAACGGTGCAAACTATAGGATAATTTTCTAGACTAAAGGCTGACAGAAATTCAAAAAGCTCTTTCAGGGCCTGTCAAGGGCAGTGAAAAACTGCGCACAAAGCACAAATAACGAGCATTTCACCATCGCATTTGCAGCTATGGTTATTCCGTTCACGCGTGGTATATATTTAGAGTTTCCAAAGAATGGTTTAAACACTTATAAGACAGTGTCTCAGTATATTTAATGGTCTTTTTGCTCTGACCGTTTGCCGTTGTGTGCAATATTGCGGATACCTGTTGGTTCGTGGCTTTTGTACTGAGGCAAGCTGGAGCCGATCGGAGGGGAATAATTCCACAGCGCCTTTATGGCATTCAGATCACGATTGCTGAATGGTATATTTATGGAAAGCCTCGATGCACGATTGGTTTATATATCAGCTGTGGCGTGAACTGCCTTTTTCCTGTAAGAGTGGAACTTCTGCACACTCAAGCAAACTGATGTTAGTTGTATGAAAGAATTAGAGCAGCTGTGGAATGTGGAGTTGAAAGGTTGACGGGCTCTGGTAGAATGTTCGCGTTAGGCCAAAAGTTGTTGAATTATCTTGCACTTTTGAATGTTGTATCAAAAAGATGTTACTACTTTTCGATCAGCACTGTGTCTGCAGATTTTCAGCAGACTGAAGTCTACGGCGCTATCCCATAAGCACGCATTAGGTTTCCCGTTTTACGAAGTAGAGGGGCCAAAATGAAACCTAAAGTTCATGCCCTGTTGTTAGTGCTAGCCTTGTTTTAAGTGCCATGTGAGTATAAAAACAAGGGCTATGTCTTCTTAGTGTCAGCTCTACTGATATCTTAGATAGAGGAAATTGGATACATTCGCATTTTTGCGGTGCGAAATAGTATCACTTTATAGGCACCTAACCGATCTTACAGGTGTACTTAAAGCCAACTGTCAGCCAGAGGCAAGCTTTTATTTGAAAAATAACACAGCAAAACTAGTGGTCGGTGCAAGCAGGATACATGTGATTATATCGACAGATTATATTTTATCCTCTCTCAATTCGTGATGTAATATCAGGGAAAAGAAAACATATATTGAGAAACAATCAACACAATGCAATTGCACCGGCGTTTTTTGACTGCACAGCTTTAGTCCCAATTTCACAGGCTCAAGTTCACTGAATATTTTATTCATTTACTTGTAGATAGCGTGCCTATAGAAAATTTGCAGGAGGCTGAAGTCTGCAGTTTCATTGAAACAAAGCCCTACTTATACGTAGCTGTGCTCCGTATACGTTCTTCTACATTGTTCGATCCATAAGGAACAAATTGAGAATGAAATCATTTCTCCTTTTTGTGAACACCTTTGTCAGACGAGCCATTTTCCGTTGTGTGGTTTGTGTTAGCTATTAGGGCTGCGTGAACGCCGAGAATTCACACAAAAACGAGACGATTGGCATTATTGTAGCTTCTAGACTACAACGCTTCCGTTTTAATTGACGTTATGTTTTTCATATATCTAAGGTATTGAACTGCATTTGGCATTATGTTTTTCATATATCTGAGGTATTGAACTGCATAGTATACGGGCAGGAAGAGAAGCTCTATGCAGACCACTTATTTGGTATCTGAAATGCACATTAAGTTTGTCAGCGTGTGGACAGATAACCGAGGTAAAATATGCGTGAGTATATTTGCTATGTTCATTGAACGTTTTCATGAACTTCTGCTAGCAGTAAAACTGACTGTTAGGCGTCAATTGTTTTTATCATATGTGAGATTTAACGTCACAAAACCACCATATGATTATGAGAGACGCC